TTTTTTTCTTTCTGTTTCTTTGTCAACTTTTCAAATAAGATGCTCTTTGGTTTACTCTCTGCTGATAAAACGCCTTTGTACCTATAAATTTATTTATATATATTAGATTAGCGAAAAGTTCATATTACATGTACTAAGGTAATGATAAGTGTTAAAAAAAACCTTGTTCGGAATTCTTGAAAGATCAACCGTTTCAGCTTGATAGTTGGCGTCTCCACGGTTAATTGTTGTTGATCAGAACTGTTGAGCCATATTTCAATGTTTTCTCTTTTTTCAAAGTAACAGGGTAAGTCAGATATCGGTATCTTGTTATTCAGGGCCGAATAAACGTGACGAGTTATGCTTACATGACTTTTTCAACAAATTCTTTGGTATCGTCATCCGGGGGGTTATCTTGATAAGTTTTTTCAATTAGATTACTTGGTCAATGATATATCAGAAATATCATATGTATGCAAAAGGTATAATTTACCAATCTGTCTTTGCGCTAGATCGATCTAGAGCATTTAATGTTGATCTTTTTATTTTATTACATACATAATAAACATTTAGAGGAGAGTATCGACATATATGATGAAGTATTTAATGAAACTTCGACGGAGAAGGCCAAAGAACCCGTTTTCGAAGAATTTATATACCCCTATTCTCCGGGTGAAGATGACATGACCTTGGTAGAAAGTATACTCACTTCCGAAAAGCTCACTCGTTTTTACAACAAGTTACACCTTCTAAGATCAGACTTTAAATACATAAGTCTGGATGGCGAAGATGGATGTAAGCGCATAAGGTCCATTTTCTTCGTCACGAGAATCCCTTACTAACCAGTTTTCGATGATAGGCCCTCCCACCAAGCCAAACGGATTCTTACTTTCAAATATTCCCGCATCATGTAATCAGCTAAACCTATACACCATCTTTGGAGTTTTTGGACATATCTTTTTCCAATGGATCGACGACACCAATTGTTGGCTGATAGTTAAGGATGATAAGAAGGTGAATAAGGTTCCACAAGGGGTACTGGGGCAGACAAAATTGTTCTCATTATTTTTAGAAGGAGGAAAGAATTATGATCTGGCACTAGAAAAAGGAATTACAAAGGAGATGGGCGAGATTTGCATTCAATCATGGAGAAATTGGGTCAAATCAATATTATACGCAGAATCAGAGGAAAAGAGTGATGCGGAGGAGAGACAGAACGATGACGCCGCATCAATAGATGGTACGTAGAAAATTTTTTTTAAATAAAATTATCTGACGCGAATTCACCGCATTTGCAGTTAACGAACTAGACGTGAAGGTAGAAGAAAATGGGTTCGACAGCGATCAGGTTAAGGTAGAGTTTGGAATTAGTAACTCTTTTCCTGCACCTCACGATGAACCAGCGCCGTCATGGGATTATCCCAAGGGGGACAATTTTGTGAGTGAAGAAGTGAACATCGAATGGTTAAGGAAGGAAGAGAACACATATAATACGAATTACGAGAACGGTGATGGCAATTTGAAAGACGAAGAGGAAAAGCAGGATGGTTGGGACGTGATTTCATCAGAAACATTAAATACTAGTGCTAAACGTACGTTGTCGACGCCTCAACCTCCAGTGGAAGAGGAAGAAAGCGACAGCGAAATGAATGGTGCTTTCAAGAAAACCAAGATTGGATAGAGGTCTTGCTAGATTAACTACCTTTTATCTTTGTATCATCATCTTTTTTCCATGATCTAAGCCATTTTATTACTCTTATGGCATATATACTTTGTATAAAAAATTACGATTGCTAAGTACCTTTTTTAACCTCTTCCAATTTATGATAAAACTTATGCGAATCCAAACACCGCATAAGAATCATGATTAAGTTATGCACATTCTGAGGGATGATTTAACTCGGACTGCCACAAAAAAAAAAAAAAAAAAAAAAAGCTTAATTACCTTATTATTGATGAATTGTCAGTATTCCTGTCATAAGACAATGTCATGTGATTTATCGGAATTTAGATCATATGATATAAAACACTGAATAAAAATGCAAACGCAAGCGCGCTAGGAAAGTTTCAAATAATTCGAATAATCAAAAACCTTTTTCGTAAAAGTAAATTATTCGAACTTTCTCTCTTTCATACATAAATGCGTAGCGTAGAGTGAATCTTGAAATGTCAACTCGCAGCAACACTTGAAAATCAAATTTTCTTTTCTTTTTTTGTTTTCTTTAACAGAAATAGAAATCCCGTTTAATGGTCTCATCGGAATACATCAGTGTTCCTAAAACTAGAATTGTCTTTCAAGGCGTCATTATGCGTTTTGTACTCCATAATTGTTTCGGATGGTAAATTCAATACCCGTTTCATTGTATCCCTAATTAAAGTTTTATTATTATTTATTTTTTCCACAAGTTGCATGTTGCGCATAATCTTAAATGAAGATCTCTGGGATCCACGCATAACTCTGAAATTTCTCGAAAACACCAACCTTATTTTTAAATTAATCCTGCCTTCATGAGAGGATTGATTCCACAAGGACAAAATGTCCTCGGAACTGCGAATAGATAATACCGCACCACAAATCTCCGTACCCACGTCAAATTGATCACCAATGACCGCCATGACCTATCACAATTAAATTAATATTTCTCTTTTTTTGATCTAACGCATCCACCTTGTGTAAGACCTACTTACCAAGCTTTCCCAATATCGGCTGGCCAGACCTTTCTTTAATCTTACAATCCATTTACCTCCATTAATATTAGTAACATCCTATGAATTTTTTTTTTTTTTTTAAAAAATAAATTTGAGATGAAAGATGAAATATGCAAGTTCAAAAATAACGATGATCCAAAGGACCGAAGGTTAGGTTATCTGGAGTCAGTCATACCTCCCATACTGGCCTAATGCCTTGTTTGAAAAGGTGATAGTCACTGATGTTGGGTAGTTCATGAGGTCTTCGAAGATGACTATAGACCGCCCAAAAGTCCTCTATCTGAATGTTGTCGTTTTTTTTTTTCAAAATAAAAAGAACGAATTAATTAATCAATTCTGGTTGGTAAGTGAGAACACACGTCGTGAGAGGAATCACTCACCGAAGAAAACGCCGCGATTTTTTTCATGGAACTCTCGTAATTTTGTATCTTACTACCAGGAATTCGGTGCATGAACCAAAACACCCACGTAAAATGCAACGGATGAATTTCACTAGTGGGACTTGGTGTAAATTGCTGACGCGTTAGATTAATCACTAAACCATTACTATTATTTCCATTCTCTTTCTCCTTAATGTCTTTCTCTTCAACCACCCCACCACCTCCCGTGATGCTCATACGCTTAGTGAGGTAACTAGTTCCGCTTCCATTACCTAAAACGGCACCCATTGCCAGGGGTGTCGTCGGTGTTAGAAGGACAGAGGAAGTGGAGGCACCATTTGACGAAGTCGTGCGCTGAAGTTGGATAAGCTTTGTAGACGATGTGGAAGTTGTCGGTGTTGTAACTGTTGCAGTTGTGGATGTGAGAGTTGTATTGTTATGGTCGGTGTTGACTGTTAAACGGTTGTTGCTTGAGAGAAAGTGAAAGAAAAAAAAATAGAATGGAATTTAGATTCACCGTAGGACGCATAAAATGCACATGGAGACATTCTCGATCGAATAACTAACGGTTCAAAAAAAAATTTTTTTTTTTTAAATCAGCAAACCACAAAAAGAAAGATTTCATTCCTACCTGCGTTTCCAGACAGATTCCATTCTTCTTTTTATTCAATGAGCTAAACTCTAAATAAATTTAATGCTTTATGATTTATTGTGGATTCGAAATTTTGAAGGGAGAAATAAATTACAATAATTATTTGTCAATATTATAATAGAAGAAAAAATTTTTTTTTCTCGAAAATCAAAAAAAATTAAGCGAATTTCCACATTTTCAATCCATCTTCATGTACCTAAATGATGAGACCTTGTGTCTTTGCCCCACATCATTGTGTCCCAGAAGTGTAGATGATGGGACTAGCTATTGGCTGGATGTTTGCCGATCTTCTCTGTCACGTCATCAAATACACAGGTGCGTGTTGGATAGTTGCATTAGTTTAATGAAAAAAACGTACGTACGTGTACGTATTGTACATACGTAATGATTTATTTAGTGCGTATATTTGATTCCACTAAGCTCCATGGCGAAGCCCAAAGCTTGCGGTGTCAAAAAAAGGGAAGGGAAAAACAAACTTGTTTACACATCGGGAAAGTTCATTTGTAAAAATTTTCGATTTCATAATTTGGCCCACATTAGAATTTACATGATCACACATAGCCATTTTTGGTTAGCTTGTGAGTATTAAATAAAAATAAGCTGTAATCAGAGAGAAAATTACGTGCTACGCATTCGGATTTTTTGATTAATAACTTCTTGGCTATTATTATCCAGGAGCCTGAAAAATGGCCAGGGGAAAGCAAAAGGTGGCTGGTTGATTTCAAGGTTGTTCAGAGGGTGCTTTTGAACCAATCAATTATTAATTTTATTTTGTTGCAATCCTTTCACTGGGGATTTAAACAATAGGAACAAGCTAGGTAAGCCTGAGGAGTTATCCAGTTTTGATGCATGTCTTACGTATAAATGGTTGCTAACCTTATTATCAGAGAAAAGGCTCAAAAGCAAGCTGAAGCAAGAAACGGTGGGAAATCTCAGTTGGAGGCTCGCGCGAAGGGATTACAGTTGAAGTGTCCTGTCTGCAAGGTAATTAACAAAAAAATTCTAATGCTTTCTGGTGTCTCTTTCTGAATTGTTTTGTTTTTTTAAATTAGACACCGGCAGCAAATTATAAAGTTGTCGTTCAACACATGGAGGTAATGACTCGACACACCACCTAGAACTGTGTTGTTGTTTCTTATTTTATTTGCAATATATAAAATTCTTTTTCCTAAAACAGGCCAAACATCCCAAGGAGACGATTCCTCCTGAATCTGCTTTCCAAAGCTAGAGGAAGTTATTTTCAAATATCATCTGGTCCTCGGATCTGAAATTATTGATCAGCAAGTCAAAATAGCTATCGTTGCGTGGAAAACGTTACTCCACAGTGTGATCTTTTTCTCTCTTGATTCGACTTTTTTTTTTTTCGTTTATTTTATAAAGTGATGTTTTCGGTAGAGATATCGACAATTTCCCAATAGGATCTCTTAGAGTCCCTTTGAGATGTTTTAGTGAATGGATTTCTTTTTGTGATGAGGAAACGATCATAATGAAATTCGGTCTTATAATAATAATCTTAACATTAAATTTGCTGGTACATGCATAATTGAATTGTATGTCTTCATTTCGCATAATTAACACTATAAATTAAATGACTGCTTATCACATCGAACTATTAATTTGTAATCAATCTTGCCAAAAAAAGTATTTAATTTCAGGGTTTTTGGTTTGGCTGATCATTAAAAAATTGCTCTTCACCTCATTATTTCGTACTTACGATGGTTCGTTTCGTTAGAATACCAACTTATGAACAGTTCGACAAGATGATTGATAAAACCGTTAAAGAAAACGGAAAAAACATATACGTTTTGCTTTTTGGTAGGAATTGTGTCTTACACATGCGCTTTCAGGTTTATTAGCAGAAAAAAGGATGATGTACAATGTACTTAAATTCCACAGGTACCGAAGACCCCTCCACCGGGAGTTCATGGTGTCCAGATTGCGTTATAGGTAAAGCATGTTTCACTGAAGTTGCATTGCAACATATTCCCACAAGAATCAACATGCTTAACGCTTTTCAACTTTGGCATCATATATTCAGCTGATCCTTTAATTCGTCGTCACTTCTCAAACGAAGCTCATCCCGAAAGTGTGCTTGTTGAAGTCCCGGTCGGTACTAGATCCCAGTATGTTTTGTTTCTCAATTCCTTTATTTTTTCTCGCGAGTTCACCTAATTTCATTCGCCGAAAACTATATTCATTTTATTGAAAGATATAAAGGAAGACCCGACAACCCTTACAGGACCCACCCAAGAATTCAACTCAAGGCCATTCCCACTTTGATAAAATGGTCGGCTAATGGTAGCGATGATAAAAGTTTGGTAGAAGATGAATGTAGTCGTGATGACATGTTAAAAAAATTCTTTTCTGAATAATTATTGTCATACTTAAAAATATAAAATAAAATAAATAATGTTCTAACATGCTAAATAATTACAGTAATATTAAGTTAATTTTCTAAAATGATAAAAAAAAATTGTTCATAAACCTATTTCTCATCGCATGTGAAGTTGCAGACCCCTTTCTTTTTTTTTTATTTTCCCTTTGATAAGGTCCTTTGTCTTGCCAACAATACCTCGTTGCTTTATCTTTACACCATCATAATCAACATGTCTCATTCTCTCCCGTATTTCAGTGTTCACCCTCTCACGTTCCAGTTTCCAATCAAACTTCACCAAAAATACACCTGTAACAGGTCTGTGATCCGAGAATCCTATGACGTTCGTATGGCTCCCATACCTTTCAACTTCGACTTTGCTGACATGACTATCTTGCGGCAGTCTTGTTTTAAAAATTATTCGATCAGTCCAACTAGGTACTCGCTGTTTTGGGCCCGAGTCATAAGATGCATTTGTTGGTTCTGGTTTTGACTCGGTTAATGATGAACGACTTGAACGATGCGTTATGTCAAACTTAAATGTTGGGTAGAACTCTATCTTGCCCTCCTTAAACTTGGAAAAGTAGGGGAATCCAGTAAGCTGATGTGAAAGTTGGTCACGCAGAAGTAAAGCCTAATAATTTACAAATTAGATTGGCGTTGAAACGAAAATGATGGACAACGTTCATAGAATATCTTACAGAAATGTCTTCCTTTTTAATGTGCTCGTCGGCTTCTTCTCTTGTAAATTCGACGCGATAATTCATGTCCCCAAACCAAAATGTATAGTCAAACCTATCGGTCACATTAACATAAGCTATATATAAAAAGCAAAAAAAAAAACATTAGTCGAAATTTTTTATACATTGTAATATAAAACAGAATTAGATCGATTATGGATGTGTGACCTTCGTCTTCAGGTTTGAAACCCTTAAGTTTCATTTCTTTACTTATTTTCTTCACGTCGTTGTTGCGTTCCTGAACTTTGTCCTGATGTGCTAAACCGTAGAATATTGTCAGTCGACGAATGTAATGTAATGCACTAACACCATTTGTTGGTTTCACAAACTTACCGGCTAAATGACTGTTAATAAAGCAGAGTGATGTGTTGCCAAATAATAAGGAGATGCCTATTCCACCTTTGTTACCGAATAGATTAGCTAATCCTGTGGCTACTCCATCATGCTGATAATCTAGTTTAAGGGATAATTTCATTACTACATCACACGTTGAATACAAAGATGCCAGACAGACGTCCCTAATTTACCTTTGACAAAGTCTTTACATTGTCGCCACACGAATACAGCCAAGTGCAGTGCTGCCATGGTCTCCGTTTTCACAAGGACATATTCATCTCCAAGATAATCGATCAGTCTAGATTCCCATTCCTCTTTTGACGGGAAGAATATCGAATGCTTAATGTTATGCTGGCACTCCTGTGTTCCGATGACTAATAAATGGTAAGGATGTTGCGATTTTCGACTCAACAAGGGGGCATGTTGAGTATCTTCCAAATTTATTATCGGTTTCTCAACAAAAGGTGCAAGTTTATTACGTGGCGGAAGCTATTCACGAAAGGAAATTACTTCTCTGGAGAGTCAAGGAGAACGAGTACATATGCTAGCAAGATATATCGTATAAAAAGAAACTTACTCTTCCATGCATATTCCACGTGCCAATAAATATCTTCAGTTTATCCTCCTCGACGTTTTTCTTTACAAAGGTAGCCTTCGATTTTCTGAATCCAAGCAGCGACGCCAAGAATTCAAACATTTCGTTTAGTACGACCCTAAGTCTTGATATGAATGTCTCTGTCTCTTCCTCCGTATCTTTAGGTCCAAGTAAAGCAGTATTCTCCGAAATGACTAATGTGGATAATGTTTCCAACGAATCGTGAGGTTCTAATAATGATAAAATGTGATGAGATCAGAAATTCTATAGCATACATGCATTTTTACTAGAAAACTACCATGTTCTATTGTAGATGTAGACATTTTGCTACTTTACAATGATCGAATGGTTTGGTAAAGTTTTTTATATGTTTTACCAGTTCCAGGAAAGCACGGTTCTTACGCCTTTTGTAAAACGCGTAAGATCTGTCGTGAAGGCCTACCGAGCTTTTAAATTGGCGAACAATCCATTAATTTTAGATAACTTTTATATCCATATTAGGAAGTATTTAAATCGATAATGCTTATTATGCTGTCGATGTAATTGTGATAAAAAGAATCTTTGTTCCTAAACACAAGGATGTTCTAAAAGTATTATATAAAGTCAAATGAAACAGTTTAAGGAAATGAGAATATTTAATTTCCTTTTAACAACTTTAAAATTGCGTAATATCACATGATCTTGGGTGCAAACAAACTATTAAATTTACATATACTTTATTGACACCCAAAATAGAATTATATTAATATACAAGGCAACTAACGACATCGCAAATAAAATGTCATTTTTAATTTTCTTAAAAAAGTAAGTTGAATGAAACTAATTACAATGATTCAATTAAAATTGATTATTTAATATTCTCAGGCTACATTGACATTTTTTTTTGTAATAATATAAAATTTCCTAATTTAATAAATTCACCTATTACTAAAATATTTTTGATATCTGATATGCAAATTATTCTTTAATTAAATTTTTTAATTTTTATAAATGGTACATAACTTTTTTTATATTCTATTTCTATCAATTCTTTTTTGGATCTTGCAATCGCCCAAATCTGAAATGTTGAATAAAATAATCGAAACTGCAAACATGTTTTCTGCTATTGATGCATCGATCTTTGACTGATCATTATTTGAGACGACCCTTTTTTAAAATTTAGAATCTCTGTTCCAAAATTCAATTTGTCCCTCGTGTAACAATTATTGGATGAAATATCTAATTAGTATATTCATTGATGAGTCTATGTATTCTTTATGGTTATATAATTAATATTGTTACATTAAATGCCTAAAATACATTATAATCTTAACACTAAATCCTTTTGAAATGAAGATCGGAACAGTCAAAGATTCAAACTCGAACTCAATATTCCGGGTTGATTATTGACTTTTTCGGCCTTTGCATTTCTTAAGTGGTACACCTTCCTTAGCTCTTTAAAATGCTTTAAAAATTGATCGCATTCTAATTCTCCCGATAAAAACGACGTAGCAATCTGTTCTGACAATTCATCCGATTGCTGAACACTGGATTTGAGTTTTGCTAAAAGAACAGAGTGCGAGAATCTCTATAAATTGAAAGATTGATTACTCATCTCAAATCGTGGTTTATTCCAAATCGCATTAATTGATAGATCCAATCACCTGCAACGTGTTTTGCTGAAGTGTGATCTTTTCTTTTAAAACATCATAAAGATTTTTGAGTTCATCTTCCTTCTCTTCTACAGTTTTCCGTAGTTGAATTAATTCTTGTTCTTGCGACAGGGTTTTTTCTTTTATTCACAATTCAAAGTAGAATTAACAACATTATTCGAAAAAGGAATCGATATAATAATAATATACTACAATCCGCACTTGCCAGTACTTCGTTCTGTAAGGTGAATATGAGAAATATCTATTTAGCAAATATATTCAAGTTAATCTCCAATAATCAAGATGATGATACACTTGCCTAGTTCGTCCTTCTTTTTAATTGCATAGGAATTTGAGCTTCCCTCTAAAAATATATGAAATTATGATCAATTACTTCGTATTGCATAAATAAAGTAGAAATAACTGTGTCTAACAATGGAATACGAACTGGCAGCATTAATAAGTTCATCGGCCAAGCATTCCGCAATGCTCTTGACGTTTCTGAATGCGGATTCACGCGTCTGCAATAAAACAGAAATTATTAGTCTAACGAACCGAGAGTTTTTATGATAAAATACGAAAAAAATTCATACTCCAATTGTCAAGAGAGCAATAGCTTGATTCACCCTTCGCAGAGGAGATACATCGACGGCTTGTCTTCGAACAGTCCCTGCACTACCAATTCGAGTTGAATCCTCACGTGGACCAGTGTTAATGATAGCATCAACCAACACTTGGATAGGATTTTGGTCGGTTAAGAGATGAATAATTTCAAAGGCGTGCTTCACAATTCTAACGGCCATTAACTTTTTGCCGTTATTACGACCATGCATCATGAGGGAGTTTGTCAAGCGCTCGACAACGGGACACTAAATATTTTCAAAGTTGTTTATCAGTTCCTACTGTTCATTCTCCTCTTGCCGATCAAGATTTATGATCCATCACTTTTTCAATGATTCCAATAATTTTACGGTGAAAAACAGATCGTCGATTAATGTCTTGTTTTATACCTGAGCTTTCCTAAATCGCTTTGTAGAAAAACGCCCTGCAGTGTGAGGCAAGTATACAGCATTACGAATCTGAATGTAATCGGTTAGT